ACCTTCGCCGCGAAACCTTACAGTCCTGCGTGCTCGCAATCTACTCCGGACGCTCGTGCTTAATTCAGTCCGTGAGCGCCATTTCCTGATTGGCCGCAGGACATGTCCGGGATCCTGTAAGCCGCGCGCACACGCGCAGAATAGACACACACATCAACTGGCTTGTTTACTGTGAGCAGCTTGTTCCTGTAGAGCCTTTTGTCCAACCTAATTGGTCTTAACTGACTTCTGACTTGGGGGACCTTCTGTAGTCGACAATCACTCTGTTTCGGCAGATATTCGCAAGCCCCATTCACTCTAAGTTAATGTAATCGTAATTCACAGTCCTGCGCCCACTCCATGAGCCAATGATGGATATCGACGGCTGAACTGGTGGTACTTAACAACATCAATTTCGACTGTGTCACGAAGCGTTTTTCTCGTGTATCTGCATTCAGTGCCCTTTCAGTGTCCTTTCCAGAAGAACCAACTCCACAAGCTCTGTAAATAAACAGACATTGCATTGCTTTGATTCAAGCCAAATCTTTTTCATATGAAATCCAGTCCTCTCGAGGATAAAAGTGCACATATTCCGCAGTGAGACGCATGGCAAACCGTGAGACTGAACATATGCGACAACTGCAACAAAAAAATAAGCTACAGGTTGCTCACAGAACTGAAAATGTCTATTAGCGAAGGGAGACCATCTGTTTACAGGCTGGCTTTCGCTCTCACCTTCACAAGACATATGATTGGCGCTGTTTTTAGCACCAATTCGACGAGTTTTAGGCAATTAATAATGTGCTTTTAGCGGTTCATTCATTATAATTATATCTTATTGCAATCGAAATATAGTATTCGTAACGTTTGTTTTATGTAGACAAGCTGGCAACCTCCATTAGGTTTCTAAACTTTAATACAACCCACCGTACAGATATAAATATATGGGGACACTTGTCACCCGTTGATGACGTCTGTGTGCATATTAGACCCAACTTACCTTTTGTTTTCGAAGAAATTATAACCCGTAGAATCTTTTGTCTTCCTCTGAACTTGACAGACTTCTGCTTTGAATATTAAAACATTGTTTTCTGTTACAGACTTGAAGGCTACTCCACTCGATGCGATCGTGTTTCAGGCGCGTGCGGATACACGGTTGAAAATGTGGCAGGACGGCCTTCTTCCTGATTATTCAATGGCTCTGCACGACTATCACGCAGCGATCCTCCTTGCTGGTGGCGACCTATACGATCTCCAACGAGGAGCTCTCACCCGATCAATTGCTACATAAACGGTCTAATGTGTTTGTGCGAATCACCTACGGCCTTAAGCGAAACTTGCATGACCAGTTTAATAAGGTTCCACACCACATTAGTTTGTAACCAGCACTAAATAGATGGTCGTACGTGAATTTTAAAATATTTGAATATTTGTCACAGCTTATGCATTTTTGGTTAGTAGCTACGCCTAATAATTACCCTGCTCATTATATTAAAGGAACAGTGAAGGTTAATTTTTACCAAATAATATGAGTGGCATCTGTGTGCAGCAGTAGGATAGTATTGAAAAGGTGGATTATGGGGATGAGGACGCACGGAGCGACAATCTATGACTAACTCACATAGACGTCCAAACGAATAAGCAAAAATTATAACTGTGATGGATTGTCGTTGTAAAATGAGCCAGAGCCAGACTTTCGGAGCTCGATCGGTCTTAGACTCTTCCGTCAGGCAGAACCACACAGAATATCAGTCTGGTGTGACTTTTTGGGTGTAGCTCAGACTACTGGACCTGGACAGTCCTTGCCCCTCAAATACCAAAAGTGCATGGAGCCTGATGCCCTGACCCATAAATATATTACCGATGACATCTAGAACCGGAATACCTACGTTGTCCGTCAACCATACACAGCCCCGAGACACCTAATATTTGAGCAAAGATCAAGATATTCAACTACTTAACTGTTTAAGCCAATGAATCATACTTCCTCCGCATAGACAGAAAATACTACAAATTTAGTAAACATTAGCATTTATGGGACACGGTTGCATGAATTTTGGAGTCCAGGACCCTCATAGAAGATCATGCGGTTACTAGCGACGGGGGTTTGCGAGAAATACGGTGGACCAATAATGATAATTTACGATGGTTCAAGACCGCAGTCCTGACAGAACCGTATTGATGAGACAACCTTCATCTGTGCCTCGGGGACTGCTATAGATTATTTGGCGGTAGAGATAGAACCATCGACACATTGTTACTTCAGTCTGTCCAGCGTAACCGATTAGGACGAATTGCGGACTCGGTTGAGGTCAGGAGATATAAAAGAAAAAAGGTAGTAATTCCTCGTGGGGCCCTCCAAGTGCGCGCGGAGC